GTCCCCTTTGGCTCGGTTGGGAGCTCAGGGCACTTCTCTCCCTGCATGACAGAAGCCTTTTAGCGTCTGCAGTCGTTACATGACAGCATTCATTCACCCACCTATCTCCGCATCTCCCGTAGAGCGCTGACCACGCTGTCGCTGTCTGGGGATGCCGGCAATGTGCTCGGTGCTGCACGGAAGGGAGGAGAGAGCCCCCGGATGCTTAGAGCCAACACGTAAAGGTTGTCCTTTGGCATCCAGCTGTGACCTGGGCGCTCCTGCTGAGGAGCAGTGGCATCAGGCTCCAGTGATGAAGCAGAGTCACATAGAAGAGGCCAGAAGGGTGCTGTTGGGGGTTTAGGTTAGACTTTTAGCAAAAAAGGAAAGGAGGCACTAGCTGTGAAGAGGCGCGGTGGGTGCACCTTGATACCAGTGCCAGGTCGGTGGGTGGAAGCGGCCTGGAGCCGAGCAGAGGTTAGGCAGAGGGAGCAGCGGCTGCCGGGCTTGTTGGGCAACTCCAGGGGCTGGACTGTTCACATGGGCTGTAGAGGTACAGACCTCTGGGTCTCCGCTGTGACCCCGAAAGTGTCCCTTAGGCTTCCCGTGCCTCAGTTTCCCTCTGTGCAGCACCTTGACTGTGGGAGTCTTGTGCTGTCAAGCTTAAGGGCCATGAGCTGTTGGATGCTGGTGCCTGGGGCACTCCTGGAGCAAGGCTTCAGCTTGACGTGGGCACTGTTCGGGGCGTGCTTGTGGAGAGCCCTGCAGCTGTTACTAACCAGCGGGTTCCTCAGCTCCGGAGCTGCAAGGGACCCCTCCCGTAAGCCCTTACTGTATTTGGATGTAATTCCGGCACATCGTGACAAGTACTTTGTTTCTCCTTCTGTGTTGGGTTAGACCTGTAGTTAGGATCAAGTAGCACTGACAGCCAGGCGTCACACCAGTGAGATGTTTTAGCTGGAACATAAAAATTGATTTGATCTCTTGGCTCATCCTGCTTAATGAGCAAGCCTGGCGCTGGGCCACAGCCCAAGCCCCCGCGGCTCTGCGGGTGGAGGGCTGCCGCCCCTGCTCAGCGCAGCCGGAGGTGCCTGCAGGCCTCAGGGCTTTCCCTGGGGGAGAGGGATTTGGTTTTCCCGGCAGCGAACAGGTTTAATTCATTAAAGCATCTCACCATGGCAGAGCCGGTGCCATAAACTGTGGTGGGGTTCAAGCGTGCTTGGGAGCACTGGGACGGACGCTGCACGCCGGTGAAGGCTCTGCTTTCTCGGGAAAGGTTTTCTGCGGACCCTTTTGCCTGGTGTTTTTCCCTCTAGTTTGTCCTGGGTCCCTGTGTGTGAGGCAGAGCAAACAGAGCCGGGCCCTGCCCTGCCCTGAGCATAAGGTAGTCTAGCAAATGCTCAGAGGAGGGTGGTTAATGAGTTGTATTTCAGCACATTTCATTTTTAAGGGCTTTGATCGTGGCATGGAATTGTGGATCTGTCGCCAAGTTTGGGCTTCAAATGAATAAATAAATGATAAATGATCATTTGGCAGCAATGAACCTGCTGCACTCTCTTTGCATGTTTATGTGGTTTCCCTTCTCCCATCTGTTCCCTTCCTCCAGCTCTCCCTCGCGGGTTGGCTCGCCAGCCCCCCGTGCCTGGCTGCCGGCAGTCCCCAGCCTTGCCGAACGGGATGCGCTTGCTCCAGCCGGAGACGTGAGGGCTGCCACCTCGGTCGACAAAATGAGAATTGAAGACCAGCCTCTAAATATAAAAGCATGGGGTTTGCGCTGGCAATGCCAGGCGAGCAGGCTGGGGCTGTACCAGGCTCCTTCCCCATGGCCTGGGGAGGAAGCCCTGAGGACGAGCGTCCTTGTTTCCCCCGAAGCCGCCCGTAGGGATGCGGTGCAGGAGAACGGGGAAAGGAAATAGCTAACAGCAGGGAGGGAGGAATGGAAAGACAAAACGGTGAACGAAGAAGTGGTGCTGCTGGGGTGGGATGACAGGTATTGCAAAAAGCAGTAAAAAAACCTAATGAGAGATTGGGCTGCACAGAGTTTTCCTGATCTTTCTGCTCGCCTTCTCCCAGCCTGTTTTCAGATTCATTTGTCTGTCACGCGCTGGTTTTGCCGTTAGCAGGGGTGGTTTGTGGCGAGGTTAGTTAGTCCCTGTTCCTCTCGGGTGAGTCACTGATCAACTGATAGAGATATTTCTGAAGATGTTTCCTATTTGGAGAAATACTTGTCATGTGTTCTATCCAGAGCATGTTCCTCGAGGGAGAATTTGTGCAGATATGCACCATGTTAAACATGTCTCAGAAGGTATTTGTCTGCATCAGGGCTATAAATGTTATTACCTGCAAGAATGTCGCCCACATTCCACCTTGGTTTTACTTGTTTATTGGGTGGTGACTTCTTATGCAGAGGCATTTTGAGGTGGCATCAAGTGCATGCATGGCTGAAATAAAGCACAGCACTTCTTTCTGTGAATCCTTCCGCAAGCAAAATTACACTTGCAAATATGATTGGGAACAGGGACCGAAACGCACCACAGATAATAAGTAAAAGGCACCAATATCAGTTAGTATTAATGCATTTTTTTTGCAAGTTGGTGTTCGAGAGCGCTTCTCTGTGGTCTCTGCCAGTCTCTGCCATTGGGCAGGTAGGTGAGCTCTGTGTTCGTGTCATTCTTTACCCTCTGCAGGAGGAGGGAGGAGGATGTCTTTGGGTCTTTTTCTTTTTACTTCCCTTTTCCCCTCCCTTACACCCGACATCAGATTCTCAAGTTGCTGCATTCTTCACTCACAAGAGAAGAATTTGCATTTTTCTTGGCACTTGGCTTCAGGAAATGGCCATGTGGTATTTTACTTTTCAGCAGTTCCTTAAAGAGCTCCCTTGTGGTTGATGAATGCAGAAACTCTGTCATAAACTAAACCACCCTTCCCTCCCCTTAATCTAGACTGCTGCTTACTCAGGGAGCCTCGGACGGGTTTTGATGACAGAAGCCCGAAGTGCTGAGTTAAGCAGATGTGGAACTGCAGTCACTCTGAAGATGCTTCATTTTCTTGCAGACTTCTTGTCTTCTCCTGCTCTGTGTGTATCCACAGGTTCTGGGCACGGTGCCACGCTCTGCGTTAATTGCAGCACAGATTAATGGAAGGCTGTGGTTCCCTCTCGGTGTTGTGTGTCTCAGTTCAGATGTAAATATGACACTGATGCTCAGCACATGGGAAGTCAAAGTTGAGGTGGGGAGAGAGGAGGCTGGTGTAGAAAGCCTGCACAGGGGTAGGTCACTTAAAAGCGTGTTTTGGCCCTGCAACAGGGTCAGCCTGGAGCTGTGGAATTAGATGAATCTTCTTATTGGAGCCGATGACAAAATCATGGTGTGGATGGTGGGACAATCAACTTGGTTCATCAGAGCTTTTGCTGGCATTTCAATTGGTGAGCGTAACAGAACTAACCGCTACATCAGTGGTGGACAGCCCTATGGAAACATGAGGGGAATCTCCCCTGGCTGCAGTTTCTCTGTGGTATTTTGTTTCTGAGGAGAATTAATATTTGTTTCTCTCTACCTTTTTCTTTGTTTCCAGACAAATGATGCTGCAGGAAATACCTGGAACTGGCTTTACTTCATCCCTCTCATCATCATTGGCTCTTTCTTCATGCTCAACTTGGTGCTGGGCGTCTTATCAGGGTAAGACACTGATGACTTGTTTGTCTCCACCTGGGTATGAAAAGGGAAGGCATGCTGGTTTTAGCACTGTGGGAGGATGTAGCTGAAAAGAGAAGATGGGGTGATACATCACACCGTACTTTGTGCCCCTTCACACATTTTTTACCCTGTCCTTTCTGTTCAGGGGGGTATTTCTGTAAGACTGTAGAGCCATAGGATGGGAGATAGGCTGGTGAAAAAAACATTAATTGAGATGATTCTGAATCCAGACCCAAGAGTTAAGTGACCTACCTGTAATTATACTGACTTGGGCCTGTTCAACCAAAACGTACTCCTGTATTGTCCTGAAAACTCATCAGGAACTCACTGATGCCAGTATAAATACTTCAGTGCTGGAGCTGGATGTCAAAGTGTTCATAGTGCATTTGGTGTAACTGTGCAGCATAGAGAAAGAGGAAGCTCAAACAAAAGGCAATTAAAATATCACAGAATTATTAAGGCTGGAAATGACCTTTAAGATCATCAAGTCCAACCATCAACCCAACACCACCATGCCCACTAAACCATGTCGTGAAGTACCACGTCTACACCTTGTTTGAACACTTCCAGTGATGGTGACTCCACCACCTCCCTGGGCAGCCTGTTCCAATGCTTGACCACTCTCTCAGTAAAGACATTTTTCCTAATATCCAGTCTAAGCCTCCCCTGGCGCAACTTGAGGCTATTTCCTCTTGTTCTCAGATTTTTTTATTTGGGTTTTTTTTGTGGCGGTGGTGGTTTTTTTTGTGTTTAAATCTCTAGCTGTTTAAGCCAATGTCTGGATTTAGGAGACATGCTGGTCTCTGATCCCTGGGGGTCAGCCAAGGATTTGGTGTTTGTTGCATATGAGTTTTAGGTTGGGGCCATTGTAGAATTGAAGCTGCCAAGTTTGAAGCCTAGCTGGAACATCCTCAGCATCTGTGGAAATTTGATCTGGAATTAACAACCTGACTCATCTTAACGGTTTGCAAGCTCTTAGACTTTGACACTTCATTTTGCACAGAGTTTCTTCTTAGCCCATCCAGGTGATCTAGATTATATAGCTCTATAAAGATTTAGATTTTTTTCTGGCCCTTGGCAGAACAGGAAGAGAGAAAAGAGTTAATGCTGCAGAGTGGTAAAAGCCCTTTCAGTTCTGCATCTTTGCTCTTTAAGTTATTAAAGCAAAATATTTTCCAAAGAAGAGATTCATGCTCAATTTTATTATTTTGTTAAGGATCCTCATCCTCAAAGCACATCCTGGGTCAGGAACAGGGAGGCAGCAGTGCAGTTTTGCTGAGGACTGGGAGACGTGCTGCTACAAGACAGGGTCATGGGAAAGGCTATGTTGTGCACTTTGCTGTTCCTTGTCCAGGAATAACGGTCATGATCAATAACCGATCAAAGCCATTCATCAGACATCTTGTTGTATCAGAGCCTTTGTAAAAGAGAGCTTTGTGACCATACTTGTCTGACACATGATTTAAAGCGAGCACCAGAGCCAGGGCTGAGTGTGGTTCATTAGGTAGTTCATCTTCCTCGTTCCACTGTGGGTCAGCCCACATTGGCTGAAAAGATACTTGTGATTTAAAACAAAACTCAGAAGCTTGCAGGCTTCTGTTCCTTTGTACCGAATTCAAATATGTTTGGTGACCAGAAGATGAAGACCTCTGCCTGGCTCTCCTGAAAGCCTCCCATTGCTTGGGGCAAAATATGAATATTATATAAATGTGTATCTTTCTATTAAAAATGCAGCTCTGTGCGTAAGGTTTCCCTTTATTAGTGGTAAGGATGAGAATATCTTCTTCACCGAGGGAAGCTTTTAAATTCTATTTTGCATAGTAGTTCGACTATGGCTGGAGTAATTCCTGGGGGGAGGCTGAAGAGAATAAGCATCATAGCGCAGGTGTTGCCCACGCTGCTCAGCAGGCTGCTGGTGGGCTTACAGCTACTGATCGATGAAGGAAACTGGGTATATGTGAATGGGCTGGTGATAAGAAGGCACCAGAAAGATGGAAAGACTCTCTGAAGGCAAAGGCTATTGTCATTATATTCGATAGCCAAAAGCCCCAGACAGCACTGTAGAAACAAAGGAATTTTAGGCTCCAACCTAAAAACAATGGAGGTTGTTCTTTGCATGGGTTTCTGCATGGAGGAAGGGTCACTGGCAAATGCACGTTGACTTCCATAGGGTGCAGTTTCCCCCAAGGACATTATGCCATCCCCATCCCAATGACAGTGCCAGCTAGTGACTCCTGCAATGGAGACTCTTGGCAATATCCTCAATTCCTGTTTCAATAAAACAAAGTTGATTTAGGGTTAGGGGTTCTACAAATAGCCCGTGAACAGGGTTAACTCGGCAATCGCTCATCTGCTGCTTATTTTCATGTCCTGTGCGCCTTATAGCCTTTAATATTAATCCTTGCGGTATCCTGGGGGTGATGCAGTGCTCTGCTCTCCTTCTCCACACATTACAGAGAGGGAACAGCCAGCTAGAAAGAGGGGATGTAATGCCCCCAGAAACAATTGCAAAGCTGAGGTTGGGTCACTGGTTTCCCAGGCTTGTGTGCAATCTTCATTACACAAAAATGTAAAAATCTTTCACAAAAACCCCATTGGTCAGGTTGTATTTTATTTTCCAACACTTTTGCCATACACATCACCAGCATTAGGGGGTTAAGCTTCAGCTTGCTGCTGTTGTACCTTGGAAAGCCACAGAAAAAGCTTTTACCTGAGTATTTTTTCATTGCTGTTAGTTTGGAGCTATTTCCTCACACATATTTGTGTTCCTCAGTGGGCAATAAGGAAGCTACAAATTTCTGCAGTAGGTATGCAGACACAATCACAGATTATGGCAATATAAATAATCTAAAATGACAGCAAGTTATTGAGCTTCCTACTGGCACTAGATCATACACAGTTTTGCCATAACTCTTAATGGAATTTTCTGCCTTTCTGTAGCTATTTGTGAACCCATGTCAACACCGGGCAGATACCTAATATGAGTGGCCTTAGCTCCTGGGTCATTCTGTTTGAGCAGTGTAGATAGATTGACCTGGTTAGTATCCTGGGTCTCATCTGCTGGCAAAATGTAATTTTTCTAATTTGCAATGCAAATGCTACAGAAAAAATTATACCTGTTTTAAAATAAAGAGCAAACAACCTTTCCCCTCTGCCGATTCTTCTGGAATTATAATAAAAGCAAAGGCAGGGAAGTGACAGGGAGATGTGGAAATCTGTAAGTGTTGGTAAAAAGTTGGTGTAAAAATAACCCGCAATCTTGGACCATGCTTGATATGACAAAAACCTCTGCGTACCTGGCTAAAGATGTGATTAAAAGCTTGTTGACTCTGTAGTTCAGATTAAATGAGACTCTGCCTGCTGTACAGTGTGCCCTCCTCCTGCGCACTGATGAAAGCACTGCCACTGCTCTTGTCATCGGTTAATATTTAAATACCCTCCCCAAATGGCACGCGCTGCCTTCTGTTCCTTCCCCCTCCCTGATGCAAGTGCTGGGGGCCAGACTGCCAGCAGAGCTCGGCTCTGCTTGTGCCACCGAATATCCAGATTTCCCCAACGGTCCTAGGACACGGGCTGTGGAGTTACTGCAAACGTCTTATTTCTGAAGGTGCAATAGGGATGTTGAGCTTTCCTGTGCCTTGATGAAAGATGCGCGTTGCAGCGGGTGCTGTGCCGGACCGGCTCAGCGCGGTGCTGAGGGTGGGTCCCTGACTGGGGGAGTCGGTAGCAGCTCCCCCGTGCCAGGTTGCACATGACAAGCAAAGACAGACTGTGCTGTTCTCTAGCTGTGACTGTGGTAGGGTCTGGAGTTTTCCTGGAGTACTGCAACGGTCACAGGTACAGAAGTGAACTGCAGTTGAAACGGCTCCTAAAATCCAGGAACGGCCTTTGCTTGCTTGCAGAAGACACGGGGCTCTCCAGCAGGAACACAGCATTTGTGCAGTAGTGGTAATGCGGGTTTGTGTCCCCTGTTGGGGATTTTCCTCTCTACTCTGCACTGTGTCCCCCCCCTGCTTTCTGTTTTGCCTCTCTGGTGCTTCATCCCTCTGTGAGCCGACAAAAATCAACAGCCCTGCAGAAACCAGTAGAGCAGAAAAACACAGATTATTTTCTTCTGGAGGAGCTTTTACTGAGTGCCATAGCTGGTTCAAGAGGAGATCAAGACTGTATAGGGCCAGGAGAGCGGAAGCGGGAGGAGACATTTCTCTCCCCTTTGATAGCATTAAGACATTCGATGGCCTCATTTGCTTCTGCACGTGGACTGTAGAGGTCTGCACGCCTGATGAGGATGGGCAGACGCAGGATGTGTTCTGCCCATCCATGTCCTGGGAAGCATGTTGGGGTGACTGCCCAAGCCTGATATCTCCCCAGTCACAGACACAAAAAGAGGGAAAAGAGTAATGTAAAAAAAAGAAAAAAAAAAAAAAAAGAAAAAATAAGTGATTAGACACCTGGTTGAAGTTCTGCTGAATCATCCATTCACCCAAAAGACAAACCAGGGTTTGCTCATACTAGAGAGCTTCCCTTGTCTTTATTTCCCTGTTTTTAACCATGAGGAGCCATTCTAACCATGCTAACCTTGTTCCAGAAAGCTGGGGCACCTTGGTTCTGAAAAACTGGGGTGGCATTTTGTAAGGTTTCCAGAGCAGAGTGGAACAGGAGTGAAAATGTTTAGGAATTTGTATTCATAATGTATTTCTCTTGAAACATCTTTTTGCGTTGATGGCGGTGGGTGGTTACTCTTGCTTATTAGATTATTTGTAAACTCTTTGTCACTTAGGTAGCAATAAAGGCATCCGTCACAGGGAATACAACCTTTCCATAGAAAAAAGAGATTGGCTGCCCCTGGTGGCACCATGGGAATGTTCTGGCTTCAAGTCATGCCAAGAAGGGTTGACCTCAGATACCTTTCAGTTTTCCTGAAACACAGCGTTGTTTGCTGCTTGGGATGGCGTGGGATTTGGCTTCAGTTCTGACCAGAA